ATTGATGTCATTAGTTTCACATTAAACCTATCTTTGATGATCAACCTAACTATAAATTATTAAAGTCTATTTGTGTTTACTTACCTCTTCTGTTGGATTTTTTTTGTTGCATATTTTCAAATGTTTGATGAGACTTGATTTTCTGCACACACATTGGCTAACGAGAAGTGGGCCGATCAGTTTAGGAAGGTGTCATGGATATCCTTTTTACTAGACCCATGTATTCCTAAATTCCACCTATGCCTTTTCTTAGATATTGCAAGTAATATGTTTTACATCTTGCCTGGTGTATAAATTCCTCAGCACCTACATATCTGGCCCTTACCCTCCCTGACCTCCTGTTCACTGTATCTGTGGCTGGTAGGGTTCCTCAACAAATCAAAATCTTTTTATTTCAGAGGTTTGACAATCCCGCAAACACTATTCATTGTTTATATCTCACCTCACCTCTTTAGATTTAATTAATAATACATCTACAAAGCAGGAGGAAAATGCTATAAGGAATCATCAGAAAATACTGAGTCAATAATTTTTGGCCTTACCCTTTCCTTCCTTCTCTGTGCTCACTCTATTCATTTCTGTGCCTTGATTCACTGTCTTGTTTCCCTTCCTAAACAGTTTTGATCAAGTTTCCCAAAGGACTTTTTTGTAGAATCCTGATATAAATGTGAAAGCCACACATTCAAAAAAAAAAAAAAAAAGAGGCAAATTTCCTTAAAAATTCCTTCTTAGCCATCTTTGAAATAAATTGTACTTTTAAAATGTTATTTTAAAAATTTACTGTATTCCTACTCTTGTGTTTTTCCCTTACAGACTCCTTATCCTCATGTCTAGGTTTATGGTGCAGTCTACCATCCCCTTCATCTTCCTTTTTTTTTTCAAGCCCAACCTTATTATTGACTGTTTCAATACTTGACAATAGAGACTTGTCTTTTTCTTACCCAATGTATACAGTCTTTTGAATTTGAGACTGTTGATGGATGATGCTGGAGTCTGGGAAACAAAAGGGCCTTATCGTTTGATACTGAAGCTGGAGGGTTTCTGGAGACAAGTGGAACAGTCTGGAACCTGGACAATGCGATTAGCATTGTAAACTAAGAGAAACCAAGAATTTTCTAGGGTATGACAAACATTTGGATGCTAGTCTTAGGTAAAGTCTGGAGGCTCCTCAAGCCAGCAGCCCATTTTGATATAATTATCATCAGAGATGTGTAATCATCTCCAAGTGGTCTCAGTAGTCTTTTTCTCTTCAGAAACTTTTCATTGTAAAAAGCAAAGTGTGTATTTAGCAAGGAAGCAATATGTGTATATGTGTGGTCTCTAATACAGAGGTGTCAAACCCCAAGGCAATGAGGAGGGTGAGGCAAAAAAGCCTTCCCTGGTAGAGATAGTATAATCCTATGGCCTCACAGCAGCTGCCTTTCAGCCTTTCAAACACTTCTCAATGTTGCCACATCTGAATATCATCTCAACACCACACCTTGTAGTTCTTGAGGTCTGAGCAAGGAGGCTAACTTGGTGATTTAGTCGTTGACTCCTGTCTGACTCTTGCGAGCCCTTGGATTACAGCCCATCAGACCCCTCTGAGCTGGAGGGGGTTGCCATTTCCTTCTCCAGGGGATCTTCCTGACCAGGGATCAAACCTGGGTCTCCTGCATTGCAGGTGTATTCTTTATGGCTGAGCCAGCCAGGAAGCCACCAATTTAGTAAGACTAGTAATCATATCCACTGTGTAAACTCTAACAGGAGTAGAGTTGTCCTTTATTCAGTACTAAATTCCCATCATTGGTTCAATTTGCACAGGAGCACTCAAGAATAACTCCTTCAGGTCTTCCCTGGCCCTCCAGTGGTTAAGACCCCAAGTTTCCACTGTAGGGTGCATGGGTTCCATCCCTGATAAGGAAATTAAGATCCCCCTCATGCCACGTGGTATGAAAAAAATTTTATTTATTCCGTGAAAGAAGTCAAATATTTTAATATGCTAGCATTACACTTAAAGTGTACAAAATCTTCTTAACTATATATAAACTAAAATAATAACAAACGTATTTTTTTTTCCTATCCTAATGTCATGAGCAGCACATTTCACGGATCTTTGTGAGGAAATGTGGCTGAAGAATCTGGAGGTGTCACTGCCCAGTTCTTTCAAAACCAGGTGTGACTCTGTTATTCTTTTCCCCCATCCCCTCCATTTTAAATGACCCAGTGTCTTCCCTAAAGAAACAATAAGAAAATTTGGATGAATGCATTCCCTAAAACAAAGTACATCCTTCAGCCAATAAACCTTTTGTTGAATGGAGTTGAGAAGGCACTTTGAAACATATCAAGAAAGTTAACATAGTGTGGCCGTAGTTACCCTAAGGAAAATGTACAGGCAAAATCCATTTAAGAGCCAATTTACTGTTTGATCTTAGTGAACTCATTTGACTCTCCCTGCAACCAGTTAAAAAACTGATATGAAATTATCAATAATGGCCAAAAAAAAAAAAAAAAAACCAACCCTCTAGCCCTCTACACTGAGCCATAACTGTGAACTTTATTCCACTGTAGGGGAAAAGATGGCCTCTTTGGTGTTAAAATAAGTATATGGAAGTTAGATGAGTTAGTTCCATTGTTGTCACATTTCCCAGGTGGCGCTAGTGGTAAAGGACTTGCCTGCTAATGTAGGAGACATAACGTGGCTTCCATCCCTGGGTCAGGAAGGTCCCCTGGAGTAAGAAATGGCAACCCACTCCAGTGTTCTTGCCTGGAGAATCCCATGGACAGAGGAGACTGGTGGACTGTTGTCGATAGGGTTGCAAAGAGCCAGACACATCTGAAGTGACTTAGCGGGCAACTAGTGTATAGCTTTTGTGTAGTGTTCAAAATGTGTCTGAATTTCTGCAGTGAATAGCAAACTGACACTAATTTAAACGAGAGGCTCTGTTGCCATGGCTTTGTTTTAGAATCAGATAAGCGTAGCTTGAATTTTCAGAATCTATAAAAACGATCTATATAAGTTGGGGCAAGTTCTACAAATTTCAACAAGTTTGCCTAGAAAATAAATATAATCATAGAGCTGAGGTAGGAATTAAGTAAAACAAATTCATCAACAGTTCCGTTTCTACCATGAAGTATGTAATAATTGTGTTGCTATTATGGTTAATTATGAACTTAATGAGTAATTACATAGGGTATCATTGTATTCATTTTGTGAACTAAAATCATTTCTGGATACTTTTAATATCATGCCCTAATCTTTTATTTTTCCTCTTATAGTTGTCATATAGTTCCACCATATATCTTGCTGTGTTTTATACTTTAATATGAGCTTCTTTAATTTATGTAATAGCAATGCGGGATTTAAATAAATGTGTAGGTGGATTGTTCAGTCTCTAAGTCATGTCCAACTCTTTGCAACCCCATGGAGTACAGGACACCAGTTTTCCCTGTCCTTCGCTATCTATTAGAGTTTGCTCAAACTCATGTCCATTGAGTTGGTGATGCCATCTAACCATTTAATCTTCTGTGACCCTCTTCTTCTTTTGCCTTCACTCTTTCCCAGCATTAGGGTCTTTTCCAATGAGGTGGCTTTTCACATCAGGTGACCATAGTATTAGAGGTTCAGCTTAAGAATCATTTCTTCCAATGAATATTCAATATGCAATGAATGATTTCCTTTAGGATTGACTGGTTTGATCTCCTTGCTGCTCAAAGGATTCTCAAAAGTCTTCTTCAGCACCACAATTCGAAAGTGTCCATTCTTCTACTCTGAGATCACTGGAAACAATGAGTCTTAGGGAGAGCAGGGAGAATAGAAGAGAATTCAGAATGTGGGGCACTTGTCATGAGCTGAGATGAATGGAAGTTGGAAGTGTTGACAATGGAAAGTATGGTTAGTTATTTCTTGTTCAAACAAGAGGTAGGGTGCATAGAGAGCCTTTGAGTAGCTAGAGAAGTGGAACTGAAGAGTGAGAATAAATTAGATTCCTTTTGAGAATGAACATGGAAATAATTTGTGAGAAACTTTGAAATTATAGTAAATTACGCTGAAATCTGATGTATAAGAGAAGATGTAAGTAGCTGGTTAAGTAACCATTTAGACTATTAAAGGAGGTTGCTGTACGACAAATGCACATTTTTTATACGTTTGCTGAACTCCAGAACCTTGCTGTATATATTTCAGATAGTGGCACTTTAGTTACCAACACCCCAGTAACATTAAACATACTGACTTGCTCCCTATTTTGTTATTATTGTTGTTTAGTCACTAAGTCATGTCTGACTCTTTGTGACCCCGTGGACCGCAGCACACCAGGCTTCCCTGTCCTTCACTATCTCCCTGAGTTTGCTCAAACTCATGTTCATTGGGTCGGTGATGCTACCCAACCATCTCATTCTCTGTTGCTCCCTTCTCCTCTTGCCGCTAATCTTTTCCAACATCAGGGTCTTTTCCAAGGAGGTGGATCTTTTCCAATGAGTCAGCTCTTCACATCAAGTGGCCAAAGTATTGGAGCTTCAGCTTCAGCATCAGTCCTTCCAGTGAATATTCAGGATTGATTTCTTGCTCCCTGTTTAAGTCAGATTAATTCTAGAAGTATGACTGAACAAATGAGTGTGTTAAACACCTTTTAAATAAATGAATATCTTTCCTATGTATATCAGTCTAGGATTGCTGGATTTTTTTTTTTCTTTTAGTGCCTCCAGAACACTTTAGATACACACTGAATCATTTAATTGGAATTAGGTGCATATGAAAGAAAAAATGTAGTTTCTTCTTATTTACTGGATCGCCCATTTGAAGCAGAAGCCAGAGGGTGACTAAGTACAGTTGAGGGTCACATAACTAGGGTGAAAGTCTCAGTCTTGCCAATGACTCACTGGCAAGAGTTGTTTACCATACAAACAATCTCACAGGCAACTGGAAACATGGAAAAATGTATGCATTTTTCTTTAAAAGATTTCTTACTAATCTTGTTTCTTGATGAATAAATATCAGCAACAACAAAGTCAACTAATTTAAACTATTGCTTTTATTATAATTACACGGGAGCACAAATAAATAAGCACAAAAGTATTGCAAAATATTGCCAATGCACTAAAGAAAACAATTTGTTTTCAAACAACATCTGGTTACTTCAGTAGTATCAAAGTACATTTATAGTTACATATTACCTAAAAAATCAAGTACAAAAATTAAAAGAAATTAAAACATCAGTGTTTATATTAATGTGTATATAGAAATGGCTAACAACACATGAGTAGAGAAATCTGTTATCTAATGCTTATTTGCACAACTTTTCAGGCACATACCTGACATTTTTAATGAGTTATGAAAAATGCAATATGACATTCAAATTTTTAAATACAGTAAACATGTGATGTTGAATCGATGTTAATGGTTTCTTTAAAAAACCCTGTCTTTTAAAAGTGTAGTGCCATTATCCACTAAAAAACATATTATTTGATATCATTTTTCTCAATAGCTATTTGTTTCAATTTCTTGAAAACAGCAAGAAAGTAAACATACAACTGCTAAATACGTAAACACATTTTTAGTGCAAGATAACAAGACCTGTGACTTTACTGTGCTTTGTCTTTTATAATCACAGTGCACTTCACACAAATTGCTACACTATAAATGTTAACTGAAGGAGTTCCAAACAGAAGTGCATACTAAACACTTTCATATATATTATATACAGTATGTATACTGTATGTGGGTGTATACATGTGTAAATGTAAATGCTTTTAGGGTGGGCAAACCCAGTCATATTTGGGAATAATTGAAAACTTCAAGAAGATTTTCACATTGGTTTGGTTGAGATAAATCCAACAATATTACTGTAAAGATGTTTTCCCTTAAATTTAAAACTTTATAATATTTAAAGGGAAATATACTCAGACATTTTTACCCAGGTAACACATATCTTGCTACAATGTCATTGACCCAAATATCAAAAGGTTTTAAATCAATCCAAACTCCAAGCTATAATGTTCAAAGTCCAACATGGCAAAATGCATTATTCTTTTACTGATTTACATAGACAGCAGTACATATCCTATGTGTACACATAGAGGTTTACACATAAACATATTTTATATTTAGACATCAACTTTAGTATGTTTAGCATTTGATTTTGACTATACACTTGATCCGGGAAAAACATATAGAAACACATATAGAAACACATAAGAGATGTCAAACACATATGATATTGTATATCTTCTTAAAAACTCTGTTTTGAAACTATTAATGATTGTATAATGAAACTCCTTGAAGGCAGGGACCATGTTTTTCTGAATGCTTAATGTCAAATGCTTTAGAAATGCTTTAGAATAGCTGATATATAAGTTGCTCAATAATGAACTGTTAAATGAATAGTGGATTAATAGCAAATTGCTCACATTCCAGAGTTAGCTATAATTTTTCCCTTACAAAGAAGATTCAGTGAGTTAAGCTTAAGAACATAAGTACCTTTTTTTTTTTTTCACTTCCATTTAAGCTTGGGATGCAATGAATGGTGAATTGCTTTTCTATTCTACTTCTACTTCTTTGCAAGGGTGAATTCCCTCTCACCTCAGATAATTTGCTGTTAATATCATAGAAATTTTTCCTTAATTTTATAAGTAGCCATAATTAGCTTACAATTACTTTTCAATTTTAGGTAAGTAAGTCAACTTAACATAGATGTAATATTGAAATTGTATTGTATGTGCATTGTTCTGATGTCTGATTTAATTAAAACAATAGAGTTGTTTAGTTTTATTAATTTGGTCACCAAACTTGCTCATAAGTGTCAAACCACTTTAGATATAAGGATGCGGCCTAAACCAAAATATAATAAGAAAAATGTTTCTCTCCAGAAGAATTGAAAGAAACCCGTTTGGGACCTCGGGGTCTCTGAAGTCCCAGTGTCACTGCTTTGAAAAGCAAAGTTGTATCTGGCTATATCCATTCAATTACCATGTGTCTGAATACTTACAGTCTTTAAAACTACACATTCTAATCTCTTAATATTTTGCATTGTTTCATTATAACATCTATTTTTGTGGAGTGGGCATTACCTTTTCCACAGATCAATCAGTTTTCACTCCAAACTTGCTTCCATAGTATCAACACTAGGGGGAAATGTTGGCAGTGTTTACATAAAGAACTATTCTACTGTTATACTTCAGAAAATGCTGGCTTCTGAGACTGGATAGAAAACAGGATTTGATATTTCCCTTCCATCAATTCTAAAGAAATGTGTGTCTTCTAAGACGTTGTTCACATATAAAAGCATCTTGCTGACAGCCAATAAAGTTCTGTTTCTATAAACTTTGCTCTGAAATGATCATTTTTAATAGGGCTGAGCTTTCAACTGGTAACCATACAATGATATGATTTGTTCTTTGGCACTGCTAAGAAAAAAAAAATAGCATATGGAGTTTTATCACTCCATAGTGTTCTGGCTGTAGGTGGAGTTTTTTATCATTTGACTAAATTCATAGGTATAAGTGCCCTAAATAGCTACCATCAGAGAGTAAGTTTATTTTTCTTTTTTATCCTAATGACCTCTTTTTTTCCACATAAAGAAATGTTGCACAAAAAGGAAATCAATTATATAATAACTATTGCCATATAGGCTAAACTACAGTGAAGAATTTTATAGGTATAAAATGTCATTTCTTAAGTTAAATATCAGTGAAGCTGCTTTTCCAGATCTTTCAGTTACTTCCCACTGAAGGCAAGATTTGGAGACAGTAAATGGAAATGGTTGCCTAAGGTCAGATTTTCAGAGAAGCTACCTTCTCAGAAAATAACTTGCTTGAAAAGGGAGTGTGAAACCTGGCACCAGCATTGGTTTGGCAGAACAAATGGAAATGGCTGAACCCAACACAAATCATTTTGTTAGCTCTATTTCCTTCTTGACAAGTGGCCAGCATTAAAAAATATCTTCTGCCTAATTCCGAGAGATATGGTAATGATGGGCATTTGAAAAACACACCAGTGTGTTTTACTTAAATGAAAATTTCAAGGGAATTATCCAATCGTAATTAGATCAAGCTTGACATATTCATATGACATATATGTATGTGTATCAAGATCATCATAAAGATGCTAAGCATTGATGGCTTACACATATCTAATTCATGGGCTTGAGTATATGTGGTCATAATAACTTAAATCAGGATAATAATTTGAGTCATAAACACATTTAATGTCAATTCTTAGTTTTACCTTAACACATTTTCACCACTCTTAGATTTGTACTCCATTGATTTGGGGGTTTGAAACATAATCTATAACTGGTGAAATATGACAGCAGGATCTATTTAAGCTACTTAAGATCTCTCCATGATTTCATGTACTAACCTGCGACTCTGCTTTTGTTTTTTTCCACCTCAATGATACAAGCAAAATTTCAAACATCAGTGAGCATTTTATGTATACAGTTCCCCCACTGAGTACTCATTCACGTGTAGTGTACACAAACACACATAACAGATACACATGCTCCCACTCACCTTAGTTCCCTTATTCTTTCAGAATTCTAGTTGGGCATCAAAATATACATTAATTATAAAATATTAAAAAATTATTTTATAACATTTCAAAGGCTTGAAAGAAACTATTACTGATAAAGCATTACTAGGTCTTTAGCAATATAGATTACAAAATTCCCCTACATCCTGTTATATTTGGTTATATTGAGCAGCACTGTGCTATTGCTGTCAAAACCCTTACAAGGAAAACCACTATGACAACAACTTCAAACACATACCTTTTCTCTCAGAAATATAATACTAAATTGATTGTTAAAGAAGAATCACATACTGTCCATTTTTTGGAAGCATAAATAGTAATTTAAATATACAAAATATATATGATAGTTTCCTTTTTATTCCTCCATGGGGTTATTTATATTCAACTAACAAGTTACTCTTAAAAGATATATATGATTTGTTTAACTTAAACTTTACCACCACAAAAATTGAATCCACCCCATCTCCCATCCCCTGCATTTCCTGTTTCTTCCTTGAAATAAAATAAAATAAACAATTGGTCATAATTCTTTGGTCATGGTGTCATCATCGGTAAGAATGTGATGAACATGCACAAAAGATTAACCCCCCAAATAGGGTGATAACTCATTGAAAAGTTAACATGAAATACTACTCCATTCAGCCATCTAGATTTTGAGAAAGCTTGGCATTTAGTGTACTGAAATATGCAAACTCATCTGATTGAATGTTAATTGATCATTTCTAGGGGAAACAAACATACACGTGAAAAGTTACTCAAAAGTAGCGACTGCGGCAGCTCTGAAGCCACTGGTCTCACCTTCTTGAAAGCAGTCGTGCTGTTTCGCCTTCTATTCCGTGTCCCTTCCATCGTCACAGTGAACCCTGGTCTCCTCCAATCAGATCAATGATGCAAGGACATGTCTCCCTAAAGTCATTTCTGAAAGAAATGTTTTCTGCTGGGATGTCCAAATATACCCTAGGAACTTTCTCTGGAGTCTGACTCATCATTGCTTAGTATAAACAAGACGACATTTGAAGAGAAATTCTTATAAAGCCAATGCAGCAAAAATATCAGTGCTGATGTAATGGGGATGTCCAAATTCAGCAGCACATTGGCATTCATTTCCCATCAAACCCTTAAAAAGGTACAAAGCAACAAACAGATGTTTTTAACGATGTGATATTCAACTTCTACATTACTAGCACCAGATCATATATTATGTGATTGAACATAATTCATACATGAGCTAGTGTACAGAAACCAAATGTGGGAAGAAAGAAAAACACTTTAAATGCAAAAATTAATCATCAAAGGCATCAAGGGACATATAAAAGAGATAATAAACCAGTTAATACCGAAATTGTATCATATAGTAAAACTCTTGGTATTTCTATCATTTGTATACGTATAATGTGTATTATTTCAGGTGTCACCCATAAACTAGTAAAATATTTACATCTCAATATCTTCTGGATTCAAAATAATCCATGATAAATAAGTGTGCCTTAAATGCAAGGAAATACGCATTTTATCTTGAACTCGCCACGAACAGGCATAGCTTCCCATGGGGTTTCCAGGGAACCACTGGCATTCCATTCTGACTGAGAAGATGTGTAACAGTTACTCATCACATGGCCAAGTCGACCTCCCTCTTCGTGTTCAGTAACGTGGAGCTCACGCCATCCTGCACACAGTCATATGGCCGTATCCCAGAATACCGTTTGCTGTTTAGAATAGGGTGGAGGGCTGTATTTCTTTGCACCTGCATTCTTCTTCCAGCTGGGTAGGATAGGCATGCTATCCTGTTTGCAAAGCCCCTTTTCCGTTTTCTGTCTAGCTTTTATTTCCTTGCACAAGCAACGCTTTTTCTCAATCATCTCAAGCATTGTATGGTCTCCATGAAACCACTGCATGCATGCCACCTGGCAAAAAAGAAAGAGTGAATACAGAAAAAAAAAAATGGAAAGAAAGCAGATTTGTTTTGCACTGTGCTAGTAGTTGTTTTGAAAAATGTCAGCCATTTCTATATTTCTGAAATTCTTACAAAGCAAAATTAAGGCATATAAGTGCCAAACAAAATTTGTACTTAAATTATTAAATATTGAGATATTATGAAACAATAATTTAGGAGTGAATATTTTACCGATATGTTCTGAAAGTCCATGCTATGGAAATAAATTCTTCTGTAAAATTTTTAAGCCATTTGCCAAATATTTGGCTATTATTTTTATGTTGACTCCATTGTCATATGGATCTCAATATTCTGAGTTCAATTATTAGCATTACTTTCAAGAGAGACCTTATATGAACGTGATATGCTTTCATGAACATTTTTATTAGTAAAATAAAGCTTAACATTTGTTTACAAATAACATGGATTTAGACTTCTAATTATTCTTCTACCAAAATGTATTTCAATGTACATCCAATGCTTGGAATATAAACACTTAAATAATTATTCTGCAAAGGAGTTTCACTACACATCTTGATGCTACAGCAAATGTTTAATTAGAATTATTGGTTTCTGCAATAATACTGATGCAGATCCTGAATAGTTCCAGAACTTCAAAGAACCAGATTCATCAGGTCAATTGGATACCAGGAGAAGATTCAGTGATGACTGTATATTGATACACATACATCTACTGCTGGACAGGTAAACACTGCTCCCAGGTGTATGAGACTATGTCCACCAGTAACTGTTCTTTAGCACAGAGCTAGCAGGTTGAATCTGTCACAGAATAGCAGTGTGTCTGAGACAGGAATCCAGGATAGAGATGCTTACACTTAATCATTTAAGCAAATCTATTGTATGACTTCAGAGTTAAAATAGCTCACTTGGAGACACTAACTTTAATGACACAATTTTAGGAAATAATTGACAAATATTTATAACACTTTTTCTGGGGCTTCCCTCGTGGCTCAGTGGTCAAGAATCTGCCTGCCAATGCAGGAGACATGGGTTTGATCCCTGGGTTGACAAGATCCCCTGGAGAAGGAAATGGCAACCCACTCCAGTATTCTTGCCTGGGAAACATGAACAGAAGAGCCTGGTGGGCTATAGCCCACGGGGTTGCAAAAGAGTCGGACATGATTTAACCACTCAACAACAATTTAACGCTCTATACCAAAACCCATTCTTATTACTTGGCATAGTTTAATGCATTTATTCCTCACAATGACAATGCTCTGAATTAAGTACTATTGATTACCCCAAGTGTATGTTAGTTGCACAGTCATGTCCAACTCTTTGTGATCACATGGACTGTAGCTCACTAGGTTCCTCTGTCTATGGAAATCTCCAGGCAAGAATAATGGAATGGGTTGCCATTCCCTGCTCTAGGGGAATCTTCCTGACCCAGAGATTGAACCCGGGTCTCCTGCATTGCAGGCAGATTCTTTACCATCTGAGCTACGAAGGAAGTCCCTGTCATCCCATAATGAGTAAAATGAGACTTGGAGAGATTTAGTAATGTGCCTACATTTACAGACACAAATGACAGGGTCAAATGTGAACCTAAGAGTTTATTTCAGCACCTGTGCCCTTAAAAACTACACACTACTGGTTCTAGAGCATGTGAAACTGGAAAGGATTGAGAACAGTCAGTACGACACCCTCCAAGTATGGGTGATGAAGCTAAGTTTTCCAGAATTTATATATCTTGTCCAAACAAGGCAGGTAGGTTTTAATGTGAACAAGGCCAAATTCAATTCTCATAATTCTGAAGTCTTTATGAAAAGGACAAGATCTTGAGCTAGAAGTCAAAGATTCAAATTCTGAAACTTGATGAATTTCCATTGATCACTCCATTTCTCAGTTTCTTTTTTTGAATAACTAAATTGATAACATCTTCTTTTCAGAAGTTAGTTTAAAAATTAGATTGGGTAATGAAGGTGAAGTAATTAAATAAAAACAAAACAGTGAATTGCCCTAGAATTATTATCCTAACACTGACAAATGCCTAGCAACGGTTTTCCATACGTGCTCTCTGCCATTCATGTGGAAAGAGCTCTACATATGTTATATTAAAGCCTCCCAGCCACACTAAAAGTTAGGGTTTAGTTACACATCACAAGTAAGAAAGATGAGACTTAGAAAGCTTAAGGAACTAGTTCAAGGAAGGTCATAGGTTACTGGCTGTGATGCAAGTCTATATCAAATTCAGATCTGCTTGATTCCACAGTAAATCATCTTTCTATTACAGCAAGCTCCATCTCCTGAATATTATTTTAGAGATTTTAATAATAGTTGTTGTTGTATGTACTACCATTTCCAGATGCTATTCAAAAATGCAAATGTATTTCTAGCCTTATGAGTGAGTAAAAACTGTTTGTCAAATAAATAAAATCAATGGCTTGAATTGGTTAGCCAATAGCTTAGATTCCAGAGGGTGATTCTCTTGGGTAAATATCTCGTATGTAATAAACTTAACTTGACATAAAGTTTCTTGAAAGGATGGGCTGTGTTTGACACCTTTTGGTGTCCTCTGGCCCCAAGCACAGGGCCCCGGCCATGGCTGTTCACTTTTTAAGTGAATTTCTGGGACAACAACCAACAGGTTTCTGTCCCAACATGAGATTGTCAAAGTAGCTCATAATTTTTCAAAAGATTTATAATATTTTAAAACATGATAATCTAAGCAATAAAAATACGATAACTCTATTTGGGTGGAAATACAAGCAAAATTTATTGAGTGACTATAAACTGTTATAAATGGAATTTATAATACAGAATTCTCAGAGGGCTAGCCCCAAATAGCATCCAACACAGTAGCCCCGACATGCAGAACAGAATCATTTAGCGCTCAAGAAAAGTTTTAGAAATGGAGTGAAGCCACCATCACGTTACAGTGTTTGCTATTCTCAGAAAACTCTCAAGATAATTTCCTTTTTAGTAAATTCTCACTGGATTTCACATATCCCAATGAAATCACAAAACCTCCCATCTTCTTTAAGGTAAGATAGTTACAGCATCACTTCAACATTTTCATGGTATTTACTTGTCCATACAAACATTAAATCACTTATTAATTTCCTTTAATATTTTTAGGGTGTGAATCAGTACATGTAACTGAAAAATAAATTTTTTTCTGGATTCCTCTGACAACAGTGCCACCAATATATTTCATTTCACTTCATAGTTGTCATTACAGTTCATAAATGCATTATATTATTGAGAATAACTGTTTTTAGTCAATTAGTAGTTTATGCTATATAGGTATGTCAATTTATTAAGAATAATCCATTCTTTAAAAATCTAAAGAATAAGAATTTAAGAATTGAGTTATAAAATATGCTTTTTCATATTCACCGCATTTTTATTTTAGAATACTTATATATTACTTGATTGAGATATAATGGTTCAGAAGAGTACTAGTAGACAATTACTCTTGTTTTCCAGACTGACTGCAATATTAAACTATTTTCTTTTGGGGGTTCATTACACAGTCAATAAAAATTCCATGACAAAGCATTGCCCAATGTATGAAAGAGGGAGAGGTATTCTAAGAGAATTGAGGTTCTTAGAAGATAGTAAAATTCATTTTTTAATTTTAAAGTTTAACAAATCTAACAAGTCTGGCACAGAATCTTCTCATGTTAAATATGCTATCAAATTTTTTTTCTCATTTAAAATACCACCCCCAAATTGTTATTATGTTGCAGTAATATGACTAAATGAAGAATGAGATTCAGTTTGGGGGAGATAAATCTGCTTCTCATATTTACTTTTAAAGAAAACATATTTTTGAAAATTTCTTCCTGAAGAGCACATATTCTTTTTAAATCCCCAAGTTAAACCCAGTGTTAAACTCAATTGCCTATTGACATGGCCAAATCCCTTCCCCCTAAAATGTGTCTAAAAATTGTATTTCATTCTGATAGTATGTGTTAATTTATTACTTTAGGCATAACAAATAGCAAGTTTAGACATTATATTAAGTGTGTTAAGACTATTAACCATAAAAGGTATTGAGACTTTCCCATTTTTTTGGTCATCTAATTCTTCATATTTAATTTAAATTTAGTTGTAAAATTCCATTCCACTTCATACTATAGTTGAAAGAATTTTATGCCAATTTATAAATATTAATATTTAAAACTAATCCTAGTAAATAAACTCTAGTAGTTTAGTTCTTTAGGGGCTTCCCTGGTGGCTGAGATGGTACAGAATCTGTCTGCAATGCAGGAGACTCGGGTTAAATCCCTGGGGTCAGGAAGATCCCCTGGAGAAGGGAATGGCTACCCACTCCAGTATTCTGGCCAGGAGAATTCCAAGAGCAGAGGAGCCTGGCAGGCTACAGTCTATGGGGTCACAAAGAGTCAGACATAACTGAGTGACTAACCCTTCCTTAGTTATTCAATCAAGTGGTCTGTTTCTTATCTTTAATCCAAATGCATTTATTGTATGAACAAGGAAGGAAAGAAAAAAAATACACAAGCAAGTAAGCACGCTCTGGGAAACAATTATTCAGTTAGTATGAAAACACTTATATATCTTGGACAAGATTTTCCTATTAGCAAGATTCAATGGAGACAATATTCTTGCCTAATTTCATGGAGATCAAATCAAATGAAGCTCCTCCTCAAGAAGATGAATCATAAATATACACCCCTCAGGTGTAGGCTATACACATGACTTCTTTCCAAAGGGTACAATGTGGAAAGGAGGAGAAGATGAATTTTTCATGAAGAAAACTGTCGAACACTACCTACACCACACCAGGTCATCCACACTGATCAGTAATGTTGAGAGAATGCATTTGTGATATCACATGATGAGAAGTGCACTTAATCTCTGTGGTCTTCCTCCTCTAAACCATAACTCCAATAGAATCATGAGAAAAACACCAGACAAGCCCAAATTGAGAGACATTCTACAAAATACCAGTCCAGTAATCCTCAAAACTGTCAAGATCACATA